GAGCGGCAAGGGGGAAAATGGCCCGGTCCCCAAGCCACTCCTCTGCCACATCTGCCTGGAGGTGGCACAGCGTGGCTGCCTGAGGCTCAGCTCTGCTCCGGGTTGCATGCCACGATACCCACTGCTGGGGCAGGTGGAGAGTACGGACCACCCCGTACTCATTCCCCAGGTCTGAGTTGCCGGTCTGGCTAAGCCTTTGATCTCTTTTGCTTCCTCCTTGGGGCCAGGGGCTGTTTGGGAGGGAAGAGGGTCTTGCTCACGGCTTCTCCTTCCTTGCAGGCATGTGGAGGCGCGCTCCTTCTACACCTACTACCTGCGCACGCTCTCGGGTGTCACCCGCGGCTCCTACAAGCTGAACACAACCGTCGGCACTTCCAACGAGACCAGCGCATCCCAACCGAAGCGTGCCGACCGGTCAGACCCTGCCACTTCATCATTTTGGGGCTGCGGGAGGCCAGGGCTGGTGCAGGGAGGAGGTGCCATGGCCACGGGTGGGCAGTGGGCTGAGACCATGGCTTTCCCCTGGGAAAAACCCTGAACCGTCGCTGGGTCCCTGGGGGTGCGGATTAACGAGCTGATGGACCATCCTGTTGCGCTGCCCTCCCCAGCTCCAAAGTGTACATGGCCGACCTGGAGTCCACGCTGCACTACTCCCTGCGGGTGGAGGCTGGCCGCCCCCCCACACTGTCACGCGACCCGCCACACTGTCAGGAGCCCAGCTGGCCGCCTTCAAGTGCTATGTAGCCACGCTGGTGAAGGTGAGGAGCTTTTGGTGTCGATAGAGGAACCATCTGCGCCTCCCTGTAGCTATTTATAAGGTGAAATGCAAATGCAGGGTGCAGACCATGTCCCAGCACTTGCAGATAGCAGAGCGTGGCAGTCTCCGATGCAAGCCCTGCATCCCAGTGCTTGGTGCAGCACAGAGTCGTCCCCGTCCCCATGGAGCTTCAAACCCAGCCCAGAGTCCCGACGGGAGCCGGTGGCTGAAAGCAGGTGCTGGAGAGTTTCAGACGAGGCCTGGGGTGCAGGTATCGATGGGCAGAGCAGGCTCAGTGCTTGCAGGAGGTGTCATGTCGAGGCAGTAGGTCTTTTCAGAAGAGATGCTGTCACCCGTTGGGGTGGCAGAGATGCTCAGAGGGGTTTGTAACTCTGTCCTGCTTGGATGCTCAGCTCAGGGAGCTGATCTCTGCAGGCTCCTTTGATAAGTCCAGGAAAGGGACTTCTGCTCTGAGTCAGGCTCTGGAAGAGCCTAATTTAAGGCCTCCTTTTTTTTCTTTTTTGGGCTTGGTGAAACTGAAGTGTGTAGGAGCTTTGAGCCAGCAGAAGCAGGGCAGTTTAATTTCCTGGTGCTATGGAGTGCTGTGTTTGGCTGAGGTTTCCACCACTGGGGTTGCAGGAGCCCTGTCCCAGCCGAGGCTCCTTGGCAGACCTTCACCTGGCCATGCCTGCTTTCTTTGCTCCCTCCTTTGTCACCCAGGGTCTCATGCTCAGTTTGGACCTTGCGTAGCCCACGCTGATGTGCGAGACACCCCCTGCACCCACCCCTGCCTGCTCTCCCCCAGCAAAGAGCTCCACACGTGAATCACTGGTGCAATGAGTCTTAAGCCCTCAGCTCAGAGCTTCGTGTGGTTCTTCCTCTGCTTGCCCCCCGCTATCACCCTTGCTCTTTCTCCCTTTAATGAGAACCACTGGATTGGGGAAATACATCCTCCATCGCGTCAGCTCCGTGAGCGAGGGTACGAGCTTGCTGGGGTGATGGGGAGCAGCAGTGGTTTGATGCTGGCCAAGGACAAGCCGTAGCACCAGACCTGACAAGGAGGCGAAGCTGCGTCCCCGCCGCGGGCAGGAGGCACAGGGCGGTGGGTGGTGGGTGCTGCTGTTTCCCCAAGGATGCCGAGCCAGCGCTGCCATTGCC